AGCTTGCCGTGATGGCTTACATTTAGCTTGCCGTGATGGCTATACGTTAGCTTGCCGTGATGGCTATACATTTAGCTTGCCGTGATGGCTATACATTTAGCTTGCCGTGATGGCTATACATTTAGCTTCGCTTAACGCCTTTTTTTTCTTCTGGATCATTGCAGTATTGTTATAGTCTATGAGACTCTCTCTCTCTCTGTGTGTGTGTGCTGTTGTTGTTTGTCCTCTTTTACACACTCCCCCTCAACCCCCCTTTGTCTACCTATCTTCTAGCTGAACGTATGTATGCATGTTCATGGATGCTAACCCCTGAATTGCTGTCTGTCCTTTGCTACTACTGCTGCCGGCGTTGACTTGTTTGTTTGTCCGTCCTTTCTCGGAAGCAACAGAAATGTAACCAAACCGAGGGACAGTCGCCACTGCGGACACCCGTATATCTGATCCAAGCTTTTGAATCCGATCAAGCCATGCCATTGGTCACTCGTCCTGCGCAGAGGGCTACTTCTGCAACCTTGGAGAATAGCGAAGCTGGCTGCTGGTACTGCTACTGTTGTTGGTGTTGTTGGCCTGTGTTGGTTTAACTGTTGCTGTTGATGCGAACTGGTCGCTGTCGTAACCTTGTGCAACATGGACCGAGTTGGGCGTGTGGACAACCATGGGCTCAAGATCAAACAACAAGTCCTCCAAACACCCAGTCGTCAAACCCATCCTCCCCGACTTGGCCCATCACCGTCACGACCTCCTCTGTCCCTCTCGCTCCTTGGAGGATCGTTATTGGAAGGAACACATGTGAGCTCGGACTTGAAGCGCCTGTCGCCCCAGCCGGTGACGACATCTTGAAGTGCCGAGTCGGAAACGCAACGCCACCAGCACCTCCTCTTCCTCGCCCATAGGTCTGTTGGGCCGGTGCGCGTTGAGAGGAGGAGTACTTGAGCACATTGAACGCCAGCAAGCGGAAGACCAAGTGGTCGCTGACTAGACGTACCAACAGCACTCCATGAATCAGAGATAGTCGGCTGGTCGTACTGGTGTCGCTCAACTCGAGGGTATGAATACGGTAGCTGAGCAACAAGCTCCATTTCAATCTACAACGTTCGAATCGATTTCTTTGGGTTTATTACATTATTCATCGACAGACACCAAGAAAACATGCTCCGATCAACGCTATGAGAGACACGGAGGTGACCGACCGACGTCACGAGGGATATCGCAGTGTCCATCAACATCGTCTATTATTGCAATAAAACAAAACTCGCACCCTCATGCGAGCATACTTGTCATTCAACCTCGAGGACCGACTTACCTTCCTAATCCTTGGATTCGTTAATGGCGCAGGTATTTCGACCACCGCCTGAAAAAATGATACTTGTGGCTGGATCATCTGAGAAGACATTGGGATAGTCATAGACAGAGGTGGACTTGGAGACTGGTACAGGCCTGGAGAGATGTCACTGCCACCACTGCTAAGCATGCCGACCCCGGCGAGACTGTTGGTGGCGCCAACACCAAGGCCGAAGGCAGGATCCATATTGTTTTCTTGAGCTTGTGACAAGAAAGTATTTCTAGCCATGTCGGTCGTAGGAGAATCCTCATGGTCCGATCTACTTAGTCTAGGGACCCTGGGATCTACAAGCATAAAGGTACAAGTGGGCTCATGAAAATGCGATCTTTCTTATCGACGTGTACGTAGATATGTGGTAAAGAGGATTATATGTTGCGATGTATTACCATCTGGGAACCCAAGACCCCATCGATCATCGATAGGTTGCTGCTGCGACATCTTTAAGGAGTTGGCGCCGGTCGTGTCGAACAACCCTGCCTGCTTCACGATTGTGCTGGAACTCCTAGACTCAAAAAACGACAAGCACATGCAGAGAGGGGTATAAAGTTAATTTTCAGGTTGTTCCTGTACGTACCTGCAAAGGATCATAAAGCATACAAACGAAGAAACAGACGTACCTTACTTTGCAAAAGGGATGTAGTCCAGTTTGTATTTGTCCCCGTCGCCGTTGCGATCGTATATTCCTGGGCTGGAAGAAGTGGTTCTTGGGTTCGGATCTGGGAAGAAGTCCATCGCCGGACAAGGGGAAGGGGAGAAGAAATGGTGGCGTGTGGATGACAATTTTGTCGGAGGGAAAAAAAAAGAATTACTTGGATGCGAAATAAGCGTGCTGGAGGAGATGATTGAGCGTAGTCAAGAACTCGCGCCAGACAGAGCCGGCTCCACCTTCTCGGTTGTGGATGTATTCCAACTGTAGCCAGTGTATACTCATCCACTCTGCCTCCTTCGCGCTCATCTCATCCTCCCATCCAGAGACATACACCCTCCTCAACTTGCTCAGGCTTCTCAGCTTGTCCAGACCAACAATAAGCACCAACGGGATCCCCTTGCGACAGTCCTCTGCCAGGTGGTAGTCCAAGTCGCCACTCAGATTAAGAACCTTGAGATCCTGTAGTTGCGCAATCTGGTTAAGAATAACATTAATCGACCGCCGAGTCGACTTCGGGGCCAACACCGCCTTGACACTCGTAGTGTCTGCCATCTCTGCAAGATTGGTCGCATCCTTGTCCAGCGACATTCCAATTCCAATCAAGACCACAAGCTCCTTCAGGCGCCGTGACGACCAGGGTTGCTCAGAGAGCACCATATCCCTCGTTCACAGAAACGACTCTGGTCCTCGAAACAACCTCAAGTTCTCACATCGAACCAAGATCTGGTGAACGTTGAGTCTCGACAGACCTCCACAGTCGACCAGATCCAATACCTCCAGCCTCCCCAAATGTACTGACAATTGACGAGACGAGTGACCTGCAAACGGAACAGTTACTGATGGTGACCTCCTTGAGCTGCCGTGACTTGAGGAGTGCCTCGTCTGCCAAGAGCCGACGTTGCTGTTGCTGTCGCTGTTACTGTCGCTGTTGCTGTTGCTGCGACAGCCGCGGTGGACGCAATGGTATCAGGTCGGGAGAGCAAGAGGTCAGGATGTCCTGGGTCGCATTGCCAACCTCGGTATGTGAATATCGCGGCCTTTGCCAATATAGGTCAGACTCTTGGTGTTGGGAAACTCCAGGTGAGGGGCCGCAGGCTGTTGAAGATGGCGTAGCGTGTGAAGAAGGCGTAGGCCCCAAACCCAATCGACTCCAGACCCTGGCCACGAAACGAGAGTCGGTTGGTGTGGAGGACAATCTGATCAATATGGATCCCCTTGATTTGACGAAAGTCCAGTACCGATGTCGAGTCTGTTGTCGTGGTTGCCTACCCCTCCTCATCCACCTGTTCCTCCTCATCCACCTGTTCCGCCTCAACCTATTCCTCATCCACTTGCCCCTCCTCAACCTGTTCCGTCTCCATCTCCTCCTCCCTCTCCTCGTCTTGAAGGTCAGGAAACGCAGCAGTGTTAAAGTCTGAATTCACGGGTACAATCTCAACGGACCGCAGGAATAACTGCTTCAGACGAGAACAGTTCCTGATCAACATGTTCATCTTTGGGACAGAGATTATCCACTTGGTGATATGCAGTAAAACAAGGCTCTGATGCTGACACCGGATGAAGCCCCTTGCAAACCGTAGCGTGTGCTCCTTGGAGTGGAGACCCCAATCCTCGTTCAGGTGCGAGAGGGGCGTCTGCTGTCGACCAAGTTGAGGGAACCTTCGAATGGATACCGATGTGCTGCCCATCTTTCTCGGACTGCTTGATGGGTCGTTGATGTTGCTGGTGCTGTTGTTGGTGTTGCTGGCGCTGTTGTAGTGTTGCTGGCGCTGTTCTTGGTGTCGCTGGTGCTGTTGTTGATGTCGTTCTTGAGGTCATCGTCAAGGTACTGTCCAGGTCGTCATCGTCGTAGTCTCCTTGGTAAGATTCGTCAGAGGAGGTTTCTTCTCCCGAAGAAGCATAGTTGGGAGCGGTCCATCGCCATTGAGCAATATAAGGACGGTATTCTAGGCGGTTGATATATCGACAAGAGGGCCCGGGCCACCGTTCTAGGAAGAAGACTGGGTCGTGCATGACCAACTCTCGACCTAGGTGCTCGTCCTGGTGAAAGATGCGTTGGCTGAGGTAGTATAGAGCGAGCTGTCAACGTGAATGGTGTGCCAGAGCTGAGTCATAAAGTCGGACCGCCATGTCCTTGAGACGAGGATGCATGAGCATATAGGTCGTGTGTGCTGCTGTCGAGGTATCGGGCAATGTGTGCGCGGATCTCTGGCAGGTCGAGAGGAGACAATGAAGTAGTGTGTGAGGTGGAGGTGGATGCCATGCTGTTGTGGTTGTTGCTGGTGTTATTACTGAATGTGAATAGGAGACGTTGGTTGGGAGAGGAAGGAAGAAGAGGAGGAGGAGGAGGAGAAGAAGAAGAATGAGCAAAGAGTGAAGAGTGAAGAGTGAAAGGTCCATCAAGTTCCATCAACCAACCACTTTTGACCCATGTTAGGACGCGTCCTTCCTTCCTTTCTTTTTTCTCCTTTGGTTCATTCACTCCTTTCTTTCCCCTCTTCTGCTTTCTCGTCAAGCTGGGCTGGGTAAGACAAACGGTATATGGTCATGCAAAGTACCATAAGCGAATCGACGTTGTCCCTGTCACTGTCACGGCTTTTGGTCCTTGGGGGAACCTGGAGGACCTCAAGGATCTCCTCCAGCTGGACACAGGTGAACTCGTCGAAATATACGCGTACGTCAAATGAGGCATCAAGCAGAAACGGACGGTGAAGAGCTGGGTTCTCGTCTTTGTCGTCCTGATCGAACCCGTAGTCGTCAAGGCCGTAAAACATAGCGAGCTGTGCCGCGATTACCGGCACGAGAAGGACGGCCATCTTGAATGAATGAAGAGCGATGGTCTGTAGCAGCATTCAAGGAAGCCATGGCAGGAAGCAAATGCGAGCTACCCTCCTTCCTGCAAAAAACTCTGTAAATTAAAGTTTTTTTTTATGTGCAGTATCGGGCACAGTACTGTACTTTCCAATTGGTTGGGAAGGACAGGACACATGTTGTCTTGTTTTGTTATTACAGACCGACATACTCTACATTTCTCACGACCAAGAATGGCTGGCAAGGGCGCCTACTCTAATGGACGACATGTCGCATCGGCATCAACTAGATGAAGCGTTTCACGCTCTCAAGGACACGGAGTTCACCGGAGATGTGGCCGACGTGAAGGCTCGACTTCTGGACAGGCTGTTGACTGTTGAGACTCTATTAGACAGAGCGCGCAACATTAATAAACATCACCTCTGACAGCCTTCCCCCACTATGTGGCGGAAACCTTGCTGAGCGCTGGAATCCGGATGCAAGGTGGTCAGGATCAGAGCGGGCTTCTTCACGGTTTTTGCGCTAAACATCAAGGGTCCAAATGAGCGTCATCCACACCAAGATGTCGACCCCGACCCTCCACCGTCCACCGTGTTGTCTTTGCCTCTTGACCACCGTGGTCCTTTTTTGTTTGAGTTCCTGGCGAGGCATTTCAACTGCATCATCTACAAGTTTACCTCCGTTGGGACAGCGGGTCGATTCGCACCTGGAGACGGCAAGACGCCCTGCTTCTCGATGGGGGTTTTGAGGACGTGTGATGGCATTGGAACGTTCGTGAAGTACTTTGTCCTGGGTCCTGCTCGTCATTCAGAGCCCCCTCCCTCCTCTACGCCTTCTCCTCCTGCGCCTTTTTACGATCCCCAACACCCACACTCCGCCATTCTTCGTCATGAGAAACGCGCGAGAAAAGGAACCAAACAGGTTCAGGAACTGACTGAGTTTGACGATAGTGTGGTGATTGAGGTCTATGCCTCTGCTTGGCAAGTTATTGCTCTTTTATCCAAAAGAAAGCAATGCCACTCAATGGAAACGCCATGGATAAAGACTGCAGACCTCTAAAGCAATTTTTTTTCTTTCAATATGCTTATAGTCGTCACCGGTTGGACAATTTTATTCTTGCAGAGGCCGACAAAGTTCGGAAATTATCGCCCAAGTCCAATCTCAAGAACAGAAACGCCACTATGCAGGATCTCAGAGCACGTCCGATGAAAAAACCTCAAACCCCCGACGGAGTCTTCATGGAGTACATGGAGTTGATACAAAAGGAGCTCAGCAACATCAAAATCACCCGCAAAATGGCTAAAGTCAAAGTCAGAAAAAGACCGGTGAGGATTTGGCAACGGGTAGTGACATGGAGGTCCGTCCGGCGGAAGGAGACAGTCGATGGAGTATTTCATGGGTCTGACTACCAACCCAAGGGCAAGAAGGCTATGGGATCTGCTGCAAGGAACAACATCGCAAGCAGTGAGAGCAAGGCCGTGGCGCCCCTAGTTGGATCGTCATCAACAACAACTCCAAGGCCTTCAGCTGATATGATGGACAAGGCAAGTGTGGGTATGGACAAGTGCATGGATGTCGACGATGGAGGAGAGAGTAACGTCGTGGATCTCGACAGCAAGTCCGATACTGATGAGGATGATGCAGACCCTAGGAATGGGTACTAGTCGTTTACTATGACGCTTTTACAGTCTCTGAGGCCTGATTTTACACGAACAGCACGACGAGATTGCAGAGATACTGGAAGCAAAGCAGGATATTGCATCTGATTTCGCATCAAATGTTAACCTTCTCGGAAGGAAGGTGGACTTGGAGGGACTAGCTTTGTTGTGTTGCTTTGAATGCATACATGCATGCATGCATTTCCAGCAGGCAGTGTTTTACAAGGAAGGAAGAGATCGTTTTTACTAATATGTGGTTGTTGTTTTCATATCGTAATCAAGCCGGGCTGCAGTTCAAGAGTGGGACTGATGACGGCTTTCTTTTGAGCCAGATATTCCCGGCCGGCTTTTAGTCTCGTCTGCCCGATGTCGATCTCGATACTGTACGGATGTCCGTAGCAGCCCTGGATCCGGAGTTCGAGAGATTGATTGATTGAGACCAAGGACGATACACCTCAAGGCAAGGATGTCCGCAGTACTTTATCTTTATGAGCGCTGTCGTTTTTGTCTGCAAGGCATCTTGGCGTCCACGCAGACGAGGACAACACCTCAGGGAATGGAAGCACCTCACAAGTCGATCACACATTTTGGCAGGATCTCTCTGACAGCATACGCGCCTCGTCACCACCAACACCTTCATCAAGTGTCGATACAAACATCCACCCTCTTGCCAACTTTTCAAGCACCACCAGGGTCATGCTTAACGACATCTCGTCTAATTTTACCAACATCTGGGATGGTCCATTATTCGACAAAATATTTCACACATTCTGCAACATTGTTTTACGACAGCATCTCACGGCGAGAAAGGAGGAGGAGGAGTGCAGAAAACGCGAGGCTCAGCAAAAGCAGGAGCGGGACGCCAGGAAGGAGGAGTCGGCCATGAAGACCGCCAAGAGTCGAAAGTGCTGGTCCGATGATGTAAACAAGACTATCTGCGGGGGGACTTAGTCTAAACAAATGGGCTGTGGAGCAAGGACTATATCCGTGAGGATGAAAAAGGAGGGAACCAAGGAGTTCACATATGTGGGATCGATAGAATAAACAAAACAAAAATAAAAGGAGAGAGGGAGAATAAATGTAACGAGTGCTAACAGTAAAGTAGACCCCTGGGCACCGGCTATTCCATAATATAGGTTGACAGTTGCACCGTAGTCCGCCGTTAGACGATAGGTCGGACAGTACCAACGATGGCGGTCGGATCGATAACTGGCAGAAACATGGGCAGGGCGAAAAGTGGACCTCTTTGAGATCAGGGGTTGCGCAAATAGTGTCAAGGATAGTATGGACAAGCCGGTCGGTGGTGGGTTTCCTTGTGCTACCCAGTGCGCATTGTATTCATTGTTGACAATGCGCAGGGGTGGCTGGGAGATCCTGCTTTCAATGCTGACTGAGAAGGGAACGGGAACATGGCTAGGATACGCCATCATGACAATACCTATCGAAAGGTGGTCGAGTGGTCCTTGCTGGTCAGAATAACAATCAAAAGAGTGGATCAAAAAGAATAAGAGAAAAGGATCTGCCCTTTGAGTGGTATTTTGGTGGCGTGCTTGTGACCACCATTTTCGGAACCGAGCAGTTGGCTCGGCGCGCTTCTCATATACATCACCACACTGGCGGAAACGTCTGCGAAGCCTACAGTCATATTTGGCCCGTTGTCTTCGTCAACCGGGATCAGACATGAAGGCCGTTAGATTGAACACCATCATCAATGCGTTGCGAGGACTGGCGGAGTCAGAGCCTGAGATTCGTCATGTTCAGTTGCCAGGCCTGGAGGAACAGTTGGAGGCTATGGGAAGGACTTCTGCTACGACACCAGTGGGTGATTCTCTGATTGACGCGCTACGCAGCAGAGTTGAAGCGAAAGATCAACATGGTAACTTTCTACTGCAAGATGAGCAGGGTGTCGTTGAAGGTGAGTTTTTGAAAGAAAATGTTATCAACAGCTTACAATTGTCCTTGTTTCAAGTCTATGTTTTTTTTTTTTTTTTTTTTTAGATCGGGCAGCAGCTCGGGAGTTCATTCACAGCCAACATGGACAAGGCCCGTGTGTAAAAATCTCACTGCGTGCATTGATTTGTCGGGGCCCGGTTTTTTGCGGTAGACATCATGTTACTTTGGAACAACGGACCCAGAAATAGCCAAGATGCTGCAAACGGTGGGAATTTCGGTAAGGATATGTCGCGCCGCTTAAACGTCTACAAGGTAACACACGGTATTATGTTGGTGATCAAATGTGTCTTTAGAACGATATGAAGCTGCCTATTATTATTTAGGATACTAAATGGGTTTATTCTGCTCAAAAACAAATAGACCTTGCCGACACACAGGACACGGAAAGGGCTTTACTCCTCCAATACGAGCTTGCGCAAGAGCTACAAGAGCCAGTAGCCGTTCCCACTGTGATTACTACTACAGCACCCCAGACCAATCATCTCGCACAGTCAACACATACTGCCAAAAAGCGACAACGCCACATAACCCAGGATATAACAGCCGCATAGAAGACTCTCAGCAACAATCCGGTGCAGCATATCTACACACCCCAGGACCTGGATAACGCCCATTCAGCCAAGCCGGCAACACGGCCCCTGCTGCGCGACTTTGAACAAACTAAGGCGAATTCCAAGGACAGGAGAACTACAGAACTGCTGACCAAGAAGGCGTATGCTGCTTCTGCAGCCAAAGAACGCCGTTTCACTCAGCCATGTGGCAAGAACAAGGCTTCTTATAGCACCGGATTATGACCATGAAAATTGATCCATTGGATCCAATTTTCTTATGCTGCCTTTCGACGACTTCACTTTATTTAGATGCAGGGCTAGGGTTAACGACGGGGAAGGTTAATAGGCTGGACTCGTCGGCCACCACTACTCCTCAGTCCGAGCTCGCATGTATCCCTTCCAACAACGATCCTCCAAGGAGTGAGAGGGACAGAGGGGGTCGTGGCGGTGGTGAGCCAAGTCGGGGAGGATGGGTTTGACGATTGGGGGTTTGGAGGACTTGTTGTTTGATCTTGAGCCCATGGTTGTCCACACGCCCAACTCGGTCCATGTTGCACAAGGTTACGACAGCGACCAGTTCGCATCAACAGCAACAGTTAAACCAACACAGGCCAACAACACCAACAACAATAGCAGTACCAGCAGCCAGTTTCGCTATTCTCCAAGGTTGCAGAAGTAGCCCTCTGCGCAGGACGAGTGACCAATGGCATGGCTTGATCGGATTCAAAAGCTTGGATCAGATATATGGGTGTCCGCAGTGGCGACTGTCCCTCGGTTTGGTTACATTTCTGTTGCTTCCGAGAAAGGACGGACAAACAAACAGGTCAACGCCAGCAGCAGTAG